TCCCAGTCCTGGCCCTGCAGGATCACTGTGCCAACTGGTTTACATTCCAGCTGACATCTCCAGGGCTTACTGATGACTCAATTGATCAGATTATTGTCTTAGACTTTTACTTAACTTGTCATTCAGTCAATCAGAAATACCTGACATCAAGGACACTGTTTTAACGTTAAGCTGTGCTCAGTTGGTTTCATGTTATGTCTGACTGAACAGTTCTAGTTGACAAATTAATGAACAGACACAGATGAGAATGGCACTGTATCAGACATGTCCACAGCAGGAGTGGCAGTGTATCAGATATGCCTGCAGTGGGAGTGGCACAGTTTCAGACAGGCCACAAGGAGCAGGGGTGCAATCAGTTAGATTTCAGACAACACACCTGAATGAGTGCAGTTCTGAACCTCAAAAATTGGTACAGGATTTATACCAATTATAAATCTCACCTGAAATTTCATACAGATGAATGCAAATACACCCCAAACAGTAAAATAGTAACGACTAGGGAGTTGGGGGGACAACAGCACCAGTTAGACCCCCTTTTTTGTATATTGTGGTCCAGATACCCATAACAGCTAGTACACATATCCTGCATGTTCACAAAGACAAGACTGTCAAACTTGCTAACAGAAATACTCAGTCACCCAGAAGGAAGTGTTTCAATCACATGGATAATTTATTGTACAAAATAAAAATCACAATCCAAGATACCATAGCATGTCTATACAGAATGTTACATATTAAGAAAGTCTCTGCCCTTCCACCGAAGAGAGTGCCCAAACCTGGTCTCTGCTAGAATCTGTGCAAGAGGACCCCACTGGTGCAGAAATCCCGAAACGAGCTCAGACCACCCCACCGAGCCTCAACCCCAGCTCAGAGGGCAGGATGCTTGCTCTCCCATCCTGCACAGGCATCTGCCCTGGTGGTCCCAGCTCCCCCAGGCAGCTGCGGCGTTGAGAGGGACTCAGGGAGAAGGAGCTGGAGCACCCATTGTGCTACACTGCCCCCAAATGACAGGCGCCCAGCAGTCCCACAGGGTTCCTCCAGAAGCCACAGCAGGGGAAATAACTCTGCCTCCCCCCCCCCACCCCAAATAACAGCACCGCAGTGAGGGGTGGGGCAGATGGGCAGCGCTTGCAGCTCAGTGACAGACAGCGGAGAAATTTCCCGAGCCTGCAGCCCAGGCAGCTGCTGTCAATCCAACAGCCAGAAGACTCCGCTCAAGGCCTGGAGCTCCTGCTCCTCCTCCTTCCCTCTCTCGTTCAACCCTGTATCCACTCATCCCTCTTCCGTGCCCGACCTCCGATAATCCCTCCATCTCTGCGGGAACACTGCGTGCCCGCATTGCATTCTTCAGCAAGGTGCTCCCTCTGTAAAACGAGCCCTCTGTTGCCCACATGTGCACCTTGCCAACACCTGCTGTCGGCATTAGCCCTGCCCCAGCCACTTTCAGCCTGAATCGGGTCCTGTTCACTGTGCCCTCCACCTGCGTGGGCATTGAAGCAGGCGGGGGGTAGTGTCCCAGGGCGGAGCAGTGCTGTGCCAATTCTTCCGTGCAAAACTACGCCGTGCGTCCCCCAGTATCCATGACTATTTCTGTGTGCACTCTGCAGCTGGACCCCAATCCAGGGTCGTCCGTTCACGAATCACCCCTGCTTGCACCAGTAAGCACAGTCTTGCAGAAGCTTGGCTGTGCTGCTGCTTTCGCACAGGCAAGAAGCAGGAGAACAAACCCCCACTATCTGGGGTGCAAATTAATCCTCAGGATCCCCTGGGCTAGGGGCTTTTCCAGCCAAATCCTTTCATCTGGGTACCCCACTACTGAAGCGACCTAGAAGCCATCCAGTTAGAATGACAACCTCAAAAGCTGTTCTGCAAAGCAGCAGACTCAATCTAAATTTGGCAGAAACAGTCCCGTTTGCGAGAAAGAGCATTACTAAGTCTAAACCTCTGAATTAGGTTTTGGGGCAGCACTACCTAGGATGCCTCTGACAGGCTCGGTCTCCCCCTCGGGGCAGGAAAAGGAGGGGTGCTGGCGGGGTGACTCCTTTGGCAATGTGAAAATCCCATGTAAATTAATCTCAATAACTCCCCCCTCACTCCCCCTTCCACTGTAGAAAAACCTCCTCTGTTTAAGAAAGTTTAGCCTGGGGGGGGGGGTTCATAGGGGGGTGTGACACAGAAAATTGTTAACAGATCCTCGAACTCCAGGTACATAAATCAGACAGATCACATCATTCAATCGGCTACACTCGTCCAAAATTTGGGCATTTCTCTATAACACCCCTTTTTCTCCATCCTGTTCCTGCTGCTCCATCAGAAGACCTGTCACCCCCTCAGCCTCTCCCTGTCCCTCTCCCCCTCAGCCTCTCCCTGTCCCTCTCCCCCTCAGCCTCTGCCTGTCCCTCTCCCCCTCAGCCTCTCCCTGTCCCTCTCCCCCTCAGCCTCTCTGGGCCTCCTGTGACATGGAGCGGCCCAGTGACCTGGGGGCCTTGGCGAAGTCCATCCTGACTGGCTGGGTGATGGGGGGCAGGTCCCTCTTGATGTCGCTGAGGGCCCTCTTGGTCGGACAGGCACCGTCGGAGAGGACGGCGGGGCGGGGCTCCTCCTCGTGGGGCGAGCCCCTGCCCAGGCGGGCGCCCAGCTCCGCGGGGGCGAACAGGGGCACGGGCAGGGTGTTCCGGTACGGGAGCTGGTACTCGCGCACCCCCCCAGCCACAGTGCCCAGACGCAGCACGCCGGAGGGGCAGTGCTGGACCAGGGGACGGGCCTCCCACTGGCGGGTCAGAGACTCGCGCCGACACTCATCCACGGCGTGAAGAGACTGCCTGCAGGGGGGGGGGGGACGGAGGAAGAGGACAAGAGTGAAGCAGACAATCAACCAGGCCAGGGCAGTTTTCAAGCACGGCTCACTCCTGTACAGAAGTGCACAAAATCTCACAGACTATTGCCAGACGTCACCGTCTCCAGCCATCCGTCACCATCAGGCCCTCCCAGCAGCAGCGATGGGCTGAGGCAGGCTGGTGTCTCTTCACTGTAACGCTGCTCAAAAGGCTGCTCTTAAGGTGGTCAGGTTCAGAAGCGGTTAACTTGCACCCATGTGTCCAGGACATTTCACAGAACCAGAGCACAGCAAACAGGCTGTTGGTGCCCACGACTGCGGTCCGGGTATGAAATATTTCATTATCTCACCATGGGGCAGGACCGGAGAGCTGATCATGTAAAGCACACCAGGGAAGCACCAATTACTGTACAGAGGCACCAGTGGAAATTTGAATGAGAAAAGCCCGACGCCCAGTCTGATCCCTCCCTATCGAAGCGTTCTGGAGTGCTCAGGGGTTGAACGCCTCTCTCACCTGTCCTGCGGCTGTGTGATGAGCCTCACGCTCTGCCAGTCTGCGCTGTAGCTCTCCCGGTCCGCCCGGTTCTCCTCCCGCACGCTGCAGCCCAGCTCGGCCCGCGCCAGGGTTCCTGCCCGCTTGACGAGCACCGTGCGCCCCTGCATCCCGTCTGTCCGTCTGTCTGTCTGTCGGCCCTTTCTGATTCCAGGACACTCTCGATGTGCGGTCGGTCAGGCTCCTCGCGATGGTACCGCTCCCTTCTTCTGTGTTGCTGGGTGAGTAGCGCTGTAGCTGTAGCTGTAGCTGTAGTGGCAGCTGTCCTCTGATCTGCTCTGTCTCGGTCTCCCTCTCCGCCAGCCCAGCCCCGCTTTATATAGGGGAAGGTGCTGCTATTTCCAGGTTCTGCCCTCACCCTTCAGATCCAGCTAGCGCACTCCGTGTCCCGACACCCGACACCCAGGGCAGAGTGGGCACCGGGCAGTGGGCAGGGGAAGGAGGGGGCGATGTTGGAAATGACGAGAATCAAAGCCCCCGACACCCCAATAACAATGTCTCCCCCCTCCATTCCATCCGACAAGCCGACCACAAACGGAAAATTACAATTATCCCCCTAAAATCCCCCAGGCGTCTTTCATTATGCCTCCTTTGCCCTAAATGGAAAAAAAATTGAATGACTGTTTTTTTAAAGGGCCTGTTTAGGTCCCCCCTTCTCTTCTGTTCAGAGGACTTTTAAACTACGCTGATGTCTGACTTATCACACAGCCACAATATCTGCTCATTCCAGCTGACAGAGCAGGGCTCAGGGACAGCCAGAACACTCCAAACACCTCTCAAAGCTTTCGATTACATTTCCATCCTCTTTCTGATGCCAAAATATTTCACAGCTTTTTTTTTCCCACAATTTTGCCTATTATAAATCTACTGTATGCCTTTTGGTCAAAGTATTTAAACATCCGATTTCACGGTTGTACTCTTAGAAACTTTACCAAGTTGGTCGGGTGTATGTATTTCAATGCTACTACTGAAATAATATTGATTGATGACCTCTGAGGAGCAGAACGCTTTTGAGACTTTGATTCTGTTATGCTCTTTTTCTCGGGTTCTGTAAATTCATCTCGGGTAAGTGCTTGAAGGAGGAAGAGAGAAAAATCAGTGGGAAGATCATATTAAGTATTTCCATACCTGCTGGGGCCTGTGCCGATTTACACTGAAATTACACCGAATTTACACTGAGCTCTGGAAGAATGCAGGTCACCCTGTCAGTCATGAAAGGGGGTATTAGCAGGGGTAGGGAAGGGTAAAAGGTCAGAGGGGACCCCGATATGACCAGGCAGCGTGAGATGGGAAGCTCAGTCACTGCCCACTAATCCAGCGCTGACGGGATGTGGCCACCGCCAGACGGTCTCACGTTACCGATCGCCGTAGAGCCGGCCCTGACCCGGCAGGGTCTGACACATACGCAGCCTGAGTCATTCGCCCAGCTCAGCTCCTGACATCACCCAACCCCCTCCCCTCTCCCCGCCCCCGCCTCCGCTGTCCCGCCACAGCTGTCCTGTCCACTCCAGAGGGAGGGGGGTGACAGTTTAGTCAGCCAGACAGCACAGAGCAGAGGCCAGGACTCAGAAGGCAGTGTGGACAAAGGGGCAGGGTGTTCAGACCCCCCAGCTGGGCTGTCATACCTCTGAGCAAGACGCACTTGAATCAGCCCGCTTCAGTAAAATCTAGCAGTTCAGCTGTAAGACAGCAAGTCTGGATCAATGTGTCAGACAGCTAGTGCTATTTAAACTAAACAATTTATATGTTCGAGCAAGGCCATGGGTTCTCAAACCTGCTGAAGGGATTACCAATGAGTGACACCAGACAGGAGGAGAGTGAGGACAAGGCTTAGAATATATTTACCAGAGTGTGACACATAGAGTAACCATGCACCTCAATATTTCTCATTTCCGGGTAACAAGCTGATTAATCCTGCAGGCTCTGCTCTCAGCTATGACGCAGGGGCAGTGAGTCAAGGTGTTGCCTGCGCTCAACTCTTTCATCAGCCCGGAGAAACAGACCCTCAGTCATGACAGATGCCCCGCTGGAGTAGCAGCACAGCTGACCCGGGAATGGAATGCTGACGAACGCATTCTGGAATTACTGGACATTGGGACACGTTTGTTTTTCCTTCTGTTCCTCCCCTTAGTGGTTTACCACAAACTAGTTTTCTTTTTTTAGGGCCAGTATTAAATGTACTATCTAATTAACATACAAAAGAAACCCAGTTCGATCCAGACATCGATTTGCTCCCTGTTTCTGCTCGGCTCAGACGGGGGCAGCTCTGTGTAGGCAGCCCAAAAGGTGCCTGTGTGCCACTTTCGTGAAAGTGGTGGTTTTTAATGGAGAAGAACTGCTTGGAGGGGAGGAGAGAGAGAGAAGATGGGGAGTGGGGGGGAGAGACAGGAAGCTAAGAGGAAAGGCCATCTGGAAGTAAGTGGGTGAGACAGAGGGCTTACCGATCAACTACTTTTTGAGCATCTATCCTGCAGGGTTGGGCCTAACTGAGGAGGCGGTACCTCAACCCACTAGCAAGCCAAGAGCCTTGCTGTGATACAGTGCCTCCTAAACAGCACCTGGAAGCCACTAGTATGGACTTTTCAGAAGAGCGCAGCTCCCTGTGGTTGATCTGTTCTTCATAAAGACCATTTGAGACAACTTTCCCATAACTCTCCATGCTTTTACTCAAATCGCTTGAACTTTTAACAGTTTTTAATGCTTATTCCAGATTTACAAAATCCCACAAGCAGAAGTATGAGACGGTTGCCTATCACACAAAGGCTGGACACATGTTCTTACTCCGCACACCGGTTTTGCACACATCTGTATCATTTCATGGCAATGCGGATGAAGCGCTTTAAATCTGGATCTAGAAAGACTCTGAAATGAGGGAGATTTGAGAGAATCAGGACAGATGGAGAGCTGTTTATAACTGCACCGCATGCCCTGTGCTCAGTCAGGAGATAAGAGACTCCCCTTTCCTTCCCAGTTCAGACTGGCTGCGGGCTCATCCGAACTGGGACACCCACATACCAAGCCCTGGTGCTGGTGTTTAACCCACAAGACCTTACTCTGCACTGCCAGAACTGCGACCTAACTATAAAAAGCATGTACATTGTTTTTTTTGTTTAATTTGAACAGTCTGTGTACAATTTTGACTCTTTTACAGGCGATCTAAATGTTCCAGGAGCACAAAAGGGGTCTTATTTCCATCCCTGAGCTTATTGAGGCTGTAGGACCCAGGGGGAGGACTGAGACTGTGATTCCCTTCGCAACCACTCTGTGTTCTATGTTGTTGCTGTTTGTTGTTGTTCTCTTGCCACATAGTTACATAACCTGGCATCTGTCAGCACTGCCAGACTGTTACTGTAGAGATACACATTACCCCACACACACAGTCCCGCACTCACACACTCCTGCACTTAAACACACAGTGTTCTGCACTGACACACACACAGTCTCAAGCACATAGTGATGCACTGAAACACACACTCTCACACACACACTGCTGCAGTGACACACACTCCAACACACACACTCCTATGGTGACACCCAGTCCTGTACTTAAAAAGGTGTGCAGTTAGGCAGAGAGGACAGAACAAAACAGCAAGCTGTTTATGACACTAGCAGCAGAAGCTCTGTGATACAGTTCATCCTAAACACTGGGAAGCCACTAGTTTTGACTGTTTGAAAGAAAGCAGCTCCCTGCGATTGAGCTGTTCTTCATGAAAAAAACATAAAACATTTGTTAGAGCTTTCCTGAAACTTGCCAGACTTCTACCCAAATCACTTGAGTTTTAGACACTGCAGAACTTTCTTTTTGAGTTTTATTTCAGATTGACAGAATCCCAGCAGAGTTACGAGACAGTAGCCCATCGTACAGACAACAGGAGCACAGTCACGTCACTGCACAGCAATGCCAGTCTCAACGGCCTCTTCCACATTGTGCTCCTGATCACCTGGGCTCTGGGAAGAGCTCGCTGGCTTGTGCTCATGCTTCATTTAGATACTCAGAGGGGTGTGTTACAACAGGAGGCAGGCTGAGCCCTGATACAGAGAACCCTGGTGCTTTTAGAGCACCACATCTCACAGCTAGTACTGCCAGTTTTAGACACCTACTCCTACAAAAGCCACTTTAGGAGCCTCTCTTACTGACAAAAACAACTCGCAACCGGTTCACTGCTCACTTCTTACAGGAAACACTTCGGTACTCAGACAGCAGAGCTACTCGCTAACAGCTGACTTATCTTTTTGTGTGAGTTGTGCGAGTCTGGAACATGTTGCCCTGCCATGCTCGTGAAGCAGATATCCTGGCTTATTTTAAAGATCCTTCAATCGCTGCTAGCTACCCAACAGGCTAGATGAGCCTCCTCTCATTTGTGACCTTTCTTCTGTTCTTGTAATTGGCATTGTTTTCAGTGAGAAGCACTGTGGTTAATCCTCTCTATGGGCTCTTCACTCTTCCCTGCTCTAGCTGCGCTGTGAAAGGGATCAGAGTGATCACACACACCCTACGGCCAGAGGAGACGGATCAGTTTCTATTGGCAAATGTGGAGCTGGAAAAACACACGAGCTTGTTTATGTCCTGCTCAGATATGCTGGATTTTTAATAAGGGAACAATTCTAATTCTGGCTTCAAAGGCTTACAGAGAACATGGGAATAGAGCTCAAAGGCTTGTTAATACTTCATGCCTTGTAATATTCCATTACGCATGGGTTCTTATTCGTCTTCTGTAGGCAACCCAATGAACTGTATTTGGGTTGAAATAGTTTAATTAGGGCTCAATTAGATCAATGTGACCCTGCTGAGGACTTGAGGACACCTTCAGAACCTGCTGGACGGCCAGGGTCAGATCAGGATTGCAAGCATGCAGCCCTTTCCCCACTGGTTTCAATTTTACAGGAGAACTGACAGGAAAAACAGGGGAAAGGGACCAACTGTGCCTGAGCCATTGCTGCAAATTCGCTCTCTCAGGACGAAATCCGGATCAAGTTCTCAAACTCCTCTTAATTTGTTTGACGTCTCTTTCCTCGTGCTGCCTCACTCTTGTGAGCTTTGTACCCCTCAGCAACAACCTGAGTCCCTGGTTTTCTGCTGAACCCTCACACTGGCCCTGTAACCCCAGCAAGCACACTGGAGCCTGGACCCCTGTGCAAGCATGTGCCCGAGCGCTGGGCACACTGCACAGGCCAGGCACTCTCTGCTGAAGGGTACACTGTGGCTTGTCAATTGATTTAAAGGGCAACTGCAGTCCCCATTTCTCAGACCGGTTATTAAATCGCGGTCACAGAATAAAGTCTTTGACGGTACAGAAAAATTTGAAATTACGGTACAGAAAAACTTCGAATTAAGCACAAAATCGTGAACTTTGTGAAAGTAACTGTATGGTCGCTAAGTTGTCAGGAGTTCGCGAGAATCACAACGTGATGCAGCCCTTCCTGCTCACTAGTCACTAATGTGATGGACAAGCGAATACACGCAGGTTGTGCGGCAGATGTTTCACTGTAGAAATATACCAAAGCCATCTGCATACAGAGCAAACAAGTAAATAGTATTTCTCGGCAAAACTACATTGAAGTCGACAGCGATATTTCTATTGGCTTGAAAGAGCTGGATTCACAAAGCCTGTTTGTGTACAATGTCACAGGTCCGCGTCACCCCACCCGACGCTTTGTTGCCTGAATTCTGAATCTTAGAACATGGGGCTGCACAGACCTGGAATTTTGTGATGTAAATTTAAGGTTTTGCAAGTTACAGTGTAAATTTTACATTTATTGTATTTTGAATTGAAATGCACTCAGCTGTGCATCCGTTTCTAACCCCAAAATATAAAAATAGCATTGCAGTTCCCCTTTCAATCAGAATCTCCAGCTGGACTGAACAATGAAGCAATGAAACAATTACTTATTTTTAAATATTTTGAAAGTATCCTCAAATGTAGGCCAATTAATGTAAAAAAAGATTATTTTTTTTTGTTTACTCCAAAGCTACAAAATCTAAACAGAAGCAGTATCTGTAGATTCTGAGTTAACAGGCAAACCTGCAATCCTTCTAGACGGAGATTTTGGTTTTGGGATTGGATACAAGGCCAGTTCATTGCTTGCCTTTGATAACGACAAAAAAACTCTGAATATTGGGTTTTGGTGGACTAGGGGAGTTTTTTTGTAGCTAAATACTTTAAAGAAGTACCTAAAGAACAGCAACTAGCAAAAAAAAAGGTTTATAAGGCTGGACTGGCCCAGTTTTAGCTGTCTCTTGCAACTTGCAACTAACCAAATCAAAACAGTGCCCCCTGCTGCCCACACCCTGCCAGGTAACCCACTCAACACCGCGCTCACTCCAGCGACTTGGACATGAACATGTCCTCGTCAATTTCTGCACTGCCCTCCTCCTCCACTAGCTCCTCCTCCTCGCCTGGCAGCAGGTGATTGGCCTTGGCCACAAGGATGGGTGTGGTCACCAACGGCTCCACCTCTGCCTCGTCCGGAAGCTCCTCCTCCTTGGGGTAGAATCGGCGGGCCTTGTCCACGAAATCCTCCGCCGCATCCAGGTAGATCAGGCGGTCCTGATGGAGGAGGAGGAGGAGGAGGAGGGACTGGATGGGATGAAGAGTTCGGATACTCCCTTTCTGTTTCTCTGCCTGCTCTCCCAGTCTGGCCCTCTCCTTACATCCTCCTCTTTTCCCAGATTTCTCTCCCCCCTTCCCTTCTCTCGCCCCCATTTCCTTCTGCTTTTCCTACTCTATCCTTACCTGGGGCCACTGCTACCCCCTGTAATATCCTTGTTCCCCACCCCCACCCCAATGATGGGCATGCCCCCCGTCAATGACCCCACCCCCCTACAGCTTCCCTCTCCACCCCCACCCCCCGACCCCCCCTGCCCCTCCGAGCCTCACCAGCACGAAGAGGTAGCGCTCGGGCGGTGCCCCCTTGCTGTCGAAGATGGAAGTGTCCTGGTGCAGCGCCTGCAGCAGAGAGCGGGCGGTGGTGGCATAGCGCAGGTTGGCGTAGGTGGTACTGGAGGACACGGTGAGCAGAGACTCAGCCTCTGCCATGAACCCTGAGAGAGAGAGAGGAAATGGGCCAGTGGAGAGAGGGAGTGACGTCTGATTGCGTGGCGGGAGCGTAAGAAACACCCCAAACATCCAGGTCATTTTTAAACAGAAGAGACTGCCCCCTGGAGAACTTCAGCTCCAGCAGTGAGTGCTTTTAGGAAGGAAAGTAGCCGTCACTTCGCTGCACGAAGAGTTGTGGGTGCGTGGTGCAGCTACCCAGCAACTACTCGATCACTGAAGACAACTCCCTGGGTGTCATTCAAAAAAAAAAAAGAGCCGCATGAGATCTTTTAATCACCAACTAAGCTTCAAACGATCGAGACGGGCGACAGGGACTCTTGTGTGCAGTGGTCAAGCAGACGGTGCTGTCTGCGGTTTCCAGACCTCACTCGTCCCCCTGCCCTTCACAGTGGATTCTGTCGGCGCCCTCCTCTTTCCCTCCCCCTTCGGGGACTCACCCAGGTTCTCCAAAATCATCTTCCACTTCTCCCGCACGCCTCGGCGGACCTGCCGCATGGCGTGGATGTCCACGCTGAGCCGCCGGTACCCCTGAGAGGGAGGAGAGAGGGGCGCAGGGCCTCAGCACAGGAAGTCACAGGAAAGGCCGGAAACAAACAGGTGGACATTTAAAACCTCCTTCCTTACCTAATTAAGTAAAAACTCAGGTTGCTGCAGGAAGAGGTGTGAGTGGGGCCAGTAGGGGGCGCTCACCCTGTAGTCTGTGGGGGTCCTAATGCCCCAGTATAGTGACGGGGACACTAAACTGTAAAAAGACGCC